ATATGTAATTTATGTCAAGGTTAGTTGTATCTAAACATGAGCTGTATTTTTTTTCTACAAATGTGACAAAAGTAGAGGTGGGTTTTAGTTATTTATTTAAATTAGAACGTGAAAGTGTTGGTAATGACAACATCAGTCTTGAACGTATTGGTATTTGAATGATTTATTTATTTATTTTCATAATCCCAACATTAGTATTTTTATGACTTAGTATCTTGCAAATGTATGTTGGTAACGGGAAATTCTACTATCAATCATTATCTTTTGACATTAATTTATTCGATTTATACCATCAGATGTGTTCACTACGTGACATGTTCACGTATGTGATGTACCTCTACGGCGCCACGTCTGGCACGGGCGCAAGGCCGGTACACCAGTATAGGAGTATGCCGCTGTTGCATGAACCCGTATATGCATTGTTGCATGCTGTATACGGGCACCCTTTTTATGGCAAGAAACAAGCTGTTCTTGAATAGCAAATATCTTGTATACATTTGTTGGTTTGTTGTCTTTTCTATTTTCTGTTTTCTAAACATTTTAATTACTTAATTATTGTATGCACTTCAAAAATCAAGGGCTAAGATTTGTTTGAGATTTTACCTCCTACAGTACGAGGTAACTGGTGTACCTTGGCATGGCCCTCCAACTTTAGGGACCGTGTGCACATACTAGGTTGCATAAATCCTGCATTGTACTCCCTCTATCAACATATTCACTGGTTGGTTTCTGGGTTGATAAGCCCGAATGATGCTAATTTGTTGTGAGAGAAAAACACTGTATCATGACTGATAAACCCTGGCTGAAACTAACAAGCGAACATATTGTATAAATGATGTTCTTGGTTTATCCTAGTTAAGGCTGTGTTTAGTTCGCAAAATGAAATTTTTTGATGTCACATCGGATGTTTCGGGGATGTCGGAAGGGGTTTTCGGATACTAATAAAAAAAACTAATTACATAGCTCGCCTGGAAACTACGAGACGAATTTATTAAACCTAATTAATCCGTCATTAGCGCATGTTAGTTATTGTAGCACTTATGGCTAATCATGGACTAATTAGTCTTAAAACATTCGTCTCGCGATTTCCAACTAAACTGTGCAATTAGTTTTTTTTTCGCCTATATTTAATACTCCATGCATGTGCCGTAAGATTTGATGTGATAGTTTAGGGTGAAAATTTTTGGGAACTAAATCAGACCTAAGTCAAGCCATTTCAAACTTGACTAATAAATGCATAGTGCAGAGTGTATTGGAGACGAGTTTTGACCGTGAATCTGTGACTAGGGAAAGAAAGGGACGACTTTGACTTGGGAAGGTCTCCTCCGTGCCCGTTCCCACTCGCAGCTGTCTGACCAAGCAAGCAAGAGGCAAGAGCTAGCTGTCACGCGCAAATCATAATGCTCCAAATAAGGGCACCACTCAGCGTGGCTGAGACTGAAAGCCTGAAGATGACTACTCCTGGACTAGCTGAGCTGGGAGAGATCGATCATGAGCAGCGGATGCCAGATGGTCATGTATCAACCGAAGGAATCGTATCGTAAAGATGGCGCCGAAGCTTCTCGTCTTTGGCTTTGGGTTACACAGCACAACAGCAACTGCAACGCCTCTTGCAACGCAAACGAGCTGAGCTATGTTATTTGACAAAGGCATGACCTGTTAGTAACTTTTTTAATCATAAATGTTAGTAACTTTTTATATAAATTTAATCAAAATTCAAACTGTTTGATTTTTCAAAAAAACGAGAATTGCATTTTCCCGTGGATAGAGGGACTAGTAACTAAATTTTGCTCTCACTTTTTTACCACCACGATGTGGTACCTTGCCATTTCATTTCATTTTATTATCAACATGTTCAAATTATGTGAGGCGCAAAATAAGTTAGGACCAGCAGGTACGTAATAACCTTTGGCGTGTTCGGCTGGCTTGTTCCGCCACTCACGAAATCATTGTTCACGTTCTGCCAGAACAGTATTTTTCTCTTACAACAATCAGTTGGAACAGTATTTTTCAGTCCTGCCGAACAGGCCCCTTCTTAGCTTGCTTTCGGTCGTTGGGTCATACGACAGCACAAAAAACTTAGCTGAAATGGCATGGCAACTAGTAGTTAATTAGCCGGCACCTACTGTATCTGCACTTTGTATTCCTTTCTTCTTCTAATAAAAATACACAGAGCTCTTGCTGTCCTTTAAAAAAAAACATGCTTGCATTCTTCTGCCAAGCTCCCGATCTAGTATACATGCATGTTCACATAAAAAAGATCTAACCTACGTGACCACCTTGCTAAATTTTTTTTATGGTCTCTCTGTCTTTCTAGAGTTTCATCCCGTTCGCTTGGCTTATAAGCTGTACTTTTTCGGCTAACAAATAATATTTTTCTCTCACAACAAATCAGCCATCAGTACTTTCAGTCACGACTTATCAGCCAAACGAACAAAGCATTTATTTAAGGCTTTAAATCCTACAGTAGCTCCAACTCATCCCTACTGTGCCGTTGTACCAAGTACTGTAGAGTGGTACCAAGCTACTGTAGAGTGGTTGATTACAAGGACCTACAACCGCTGCGGCCACTCGTTGGTCCTCCGCTGGGGCCCAATGGAGCGCCAAGATATCCCACGCAGCAGAGACGTCTTACGGATGTAAAGATAGATTAGAAGTTCTAGTACATCTCACTTAGAGAAGGAACGTTTTAGAATTTTAGTCGAAGTCAAACGGTTGCGAGTTTGGCTAAGTTAAGTTTAAAAAACATATCCATATTTATGATATTAGTTAATTAGCACCGTTCAATTATATTATATAATAGTTTCGTATACCAGTACCTAGTTGGTGTCATGAATGTGTGTTAATATTTTTCTCCATGAATTCAGTCAAGCTAACAATAGTTTAACTTTGGCTAAAATTTTAAGGTCTTTCTTTTTGGGAAAATGCACCTATTAGTTATACGTACTGATCTAGTTTTCAAGAGCTATGGAGGATAAACTGTTAGACGATGGAGGAGTTGATTTCGGTTCCTTTGGTACATCTCCTGTATCACCTCAAACCAAAGACTAGACGTGTCCTTAGTAGGGAACGGTGTGCTTGTCTCCTTATTAACCATCATTACTGAAAGTCTGGCTATGCAAAACAGGGTGCTCGTGTGCTGAAAAAAGGTAGTATATTAAAAAGTGCAAGTCCCAAGGAATATGCCTCGCTCTAATTTGTCCAACGGAACGAGTCACTGCACGAACAAACAAAGCCCACGAGGTACGTACTAGAAAACAACCAACTGTGCTTGACAATTCCAAACAAAACAACGTTTGTGTTCATCGCTCACTTCTTCTCACTGCCGTCCTTGTCATCCGCTGCCTCTTTATGAATGAAACGGTGAAACACACACCCGTGAATCCCCATATGTTTTCTCGCCATTGTTAGGATGAGATCATAGAAGGCCAAAAGAATCTTCAGTAAATCGCTTTGCCTTTTGACAGAATTTTTTTTCAGCATTTTAGGAGCTGTATGTAAGAATTCTTAATTATAACTATGGTGGTTAATTTCTGTTGTCCTGTAGGTGCTCTTTTGACTAGCTAGTCTCCCCCGAGGAAAAAAAAGGCACCAACGTTGTTTTTATGTGAAGACAATGTCAATGTACACGTAAAAGGTGTCATGTCTCATCTGGCCAAACTTTTTCTAAGCCAAAAAGGACTCTGTCTAGTAAGCCACAATGACCGTTTTATTATTTTTTTTGCCCTTGCACTAATTCCAACGTATACGTTACGAACACCATTTTATTTTTAAGAAGCAAAGAGTAAAGTATATATCCTAGGGTGTTTTAAAGTTTTATTAGAACATGATCATGAAGTCTCCTGGGATTATAGAAGCCGCCACTCTTGAAGACTTTAGGTAAGACTCAGGGTTTGTTTGGAGCACGTGAATTTTTCGGTTTTTTCTATAAAAATAAACTGATTATCGTGAAACTGCATGCTTTCTGTAAAATTCCTGCGTGCCCTTAAAGTCTTTTATTTTTTTTAATTTCCTTGCAACTTAACTTGGTGTGTTTCGTGTTAAAAAACCAACTCGGTGTCTTTCAATTTCACTGGTCACTATACATAATTTTTACCAGAAATGGACCGTTGCCTGATTTACATTTTACAAAAGGAGAAAAGTATATAAAAATATATAGAAAAAGAAAAACAATGGTGACAGCGTCGTCGTCTCCTTCCTCCCTCCTTCCTGGTCACCCATGGAGAATTCCTTAGATACGACCTAGCTGCACTGCGACCAGCGCACGCATTTCCCTTCCCCCAAATCCCTCCTCCACCAACACGCCCTCCCTTTTGCCCGTTCCCAACCTTGAAACGCAAATCAAAACGCAGATATTTGAGCTCTCACCGTCATCCTCTCCTCGCCCCCATTGGAAGCTGCCGCCTCCGAAATTCCTATAAAAAAAATATGGGTGGAGCCATCACCCACGCAGCCAAAATCCTGTCCTCTTGCGCGGCCAGCTTGTAGCTCCACACTGGATGGATAGATAGAAGAGGCTGCTAATCTTTTCCCCCCCGGCTTGCTCTCCCCTTTTCTTTTGGCAGGATTGCACATCTTCCCCATGTGACACCTGAGAAAGTGAGAGCACAGATTTCTTCCTCCCCTTGCTGCTGCTTCCGTTTCTCGTTCCTGTTCCTCTCTGCTCGTGGGTTTGTCACAGATAAACCTCGCATAAAGCTTCGTTCGTTCCTCGTCTCTCGATCTCAATCGGCAGCAGGGCTCCTCCGTTCCCCCGCTCCAAGATCTTCCCCCCTGTTCTTCCGTCTCCAGCCCGCGGAAATCCTTGGAGGAGCTGCAGAAATTTGTAGCGAGAGAGGTGGATTTATCTTCCCTTTTGACTGGTTCGTCATCGCCGTGTCCCCAAATTTCTAACTTTTCTCCGGGTTTTCCGGTTTCTCGTCCAAGAACAGGCTTCCATTTCCTGCGGCGGCGGCCTCCGTGTGGTTCTTGATCCGGGGGAGCTCACCTGGGGCGCGCCAATGCAGCCGGACCCGAGCGGGGACGCCGGCAATGCGAAGGCGAAGCTGCCGCTGCCGCAGCCGGTGACGGCGCCGGCGCCGGCGCCGTCGTCGGGGCGGCCGGCGTCCGTGCTGCCGTACAAGACGGCGAACGTGCGGGACCACTACCGCATCGGCAAGAAGCTCGGGCAGGGGCAGTTCGGCACCACGTTCCAGTGCGTGGGCAAGGCCGACGGCGCCGAGTACGCGTGCAAGTCCATCCCCAAGCGCAAGCTGCTGTGCCGGGAGGACTACGAGGACGTGTACCGCGAGATCCAGATCATGCACCACCTCTCCGAGCACCCCAACGTCGTCCGCATCCGCGGCGCCTACGAGGACGCGCTCTTCGTGCACATCGTCATGGAGCTCTGCGCCGGCGGCGAGCTCTTCGACCGCATCGTCGCCAAGGGACACTACAGCGAGCGCGCGGCGGCGAAGCTCATCAAGACCATTGTCGGGGTCGTGGAGGGATGCCACTCGCTCGGCGTCATGCACCGGGACCTCAAGCCGGAGAACTTTCTCTTTGCCAGCACCGCCGAGGAAGCCCCACTCAAGGCCACTGACTTTGGGCTTTCCATGTTTTACAAGCCCGGTATGCGTGTTTCTTTGCTTTTACATTGCTCGATTTGGTTGGTCAACTGCTGCTGTTTGCTGTTGCCATTGATGGTTCTGATGCAAGGTAGTTATACTTGCTGTGTTAGAATGACCTTTTTTGTTTGTTATTAAAACAGTGACACTTGATATAATGTCGTGGTCAAGTCTGATGGATTTGGCATTAGTGCTTTCTGCGTGATTGTTTTTCACAGAACGAGAATGCTATCTAACATATTGATGATAAGGCATTGATATTATTATTTGATTTGACGAGAACAGTAAGAGAAAAGATACAAAACCATGTTGAAGCTCCCAGTTTCGTTTTGGAATGGGAATGAGTTACTGAAACTTTTAATAGAAGCTTTCTAGAAGCCATTTGTGGTTTTGAGATAGTGATTTATGAGCTTCTATTTTGATGTGTTTGGTACAATGGTACTTGCATCCAAAATTGTACTCGGTTTGACTCTGGTGTTGCTAGATGTTCTCAGTGCCCCCTTGTGCTAAGATTCTTGATGATGCAAGCTGCTCATTTCCATTACCTCAGGTGATAAATTCTCTGATGTCGTTGGAAGCCCTTACTATGTTGCACCAGAGGTACTTCAGAAATGCTATGGTCCAGAAGCTGATGTGTGGAGCGCGGGCGTAATTCTGTACATTTTGCTTTGTGGTGTCCCCCCATTCTGGGCAGGTAAAGTATCTGTCATTCAAACCATCAAATTCGTTTGTCACTGCAAATTCACATGTTTCCCATTATGTTATATGATTTTCTTCTTTCAGAAACTGAGCCTGGAATCTTCAGGCAGATTCTGCGAGGCAAACTTAATTTTGAATCTGAACCCTGGCCTAGTATCTCTGATAGTGCTAAGGATCTGGTCCGTAATATGCTTACTCGGGATCCTAAAAAGAGATTTAGTGCTCATGAGGTTCTCTGTAAGTACATTCCTTCCTCATCTATCTCATGTAGCTGGGTTGTGGATACATTTCCTGGGTGCTACATGGGATATCCATTTTTATTCCTTCAATAATAGCATTGTCTATGCCATATTCAGGCCACCCATGGATTGTTGACGATGCCGTGGCACCTGATAAGCCTATTGATTCTGCTGTTTTGTCAAGGCTGAAGCATTTTTCGGCAATGAACAAGCTCAAGAAGATGGCATTAAGGGTATGGATATTTACTAGTCCTTGCTTGATGTGATATCTGATTCTACACCGTTTGGTTTTATGTGGACCCAAATAGTAAAGGCATCGTAAATGTTACTGTTAGCATGGTCTCTATTTCTTGATATACCAAGGCGAACTCCATATATGGCTCTATTTTCCCTTTCTGTGTGAAAGAACCTTACTGTTAACTGTAGTGGATCCTCAATTATGATCACTCTGAAGGTGGTGCTTTGTTCTGTAATCAAATACAATCTAGTAGAGCTCAGAGGGATGAATAGTCATACTCATATCGTCTGGCCTCATGCTTGTTTACACCCCTGCTTTCTTCTCTCTGTGTCACAATGCTCACTATATTCCATCCAGGTTTTCTGATTCATGCTATCAAATCAAAACATTATAGATATCGGATATGATGTTCTGGATTGGCTTTGCTTTTCCGCCCATTTTACTTGGTAATTAGCTACAGAAAATTTAGTAATTTGGGCTATTGCATCACAGAGATGGCAGAGTGCCTCTAATGTTTCAGTCACGTAACCACGAAATGTGCAGTGGTCATCTTAAAATTTTGACATACTGTAGGCATCTTTTCAATATTCAGGTCATTGCTGAAAGCCTGTCTGAGGAAGAGATTGGAGGCCTCAAGGAGTTGTTCAAGATGATTGATACTGACAATAGTGGGACTATAACATTTGATGAGCTGAAAGATGGCTTGAAAAGGGTGGGCTCTGAATTAACAGAGAATGAAATCCAGGCTCTGATGGAAGCAGTAAGTGCTCTTCCAGCCTTTTACTAGTAAAATCATAATTCCTTGCAGATATGTTCTATGGATATTGATTTTGCCCTTTGGTACATTTGTTTCAGGCAGATATTGATAACAGCGGAACCATCGACTACGGCGAATTCATTGCAGCTACGTTGCACATGAATAAGCTGGAGAGGGAGAGGAAAACTTGGTTTCAGCATTCTCATTTTTGACAAAGATGGAAGTGGCTTTATAACCATTGATGAGCTGTCAGAAGCATGTCGTGAGTTTGGTCTTGATGACGTCCACCTCGAGGATATGATTAAAGATATTGACCAGAACAATGTTAGTCCCTTTTATATTTATTAATCTAGTCTCTCTGTCTCTATGTTTTAGTTGCATTCATAAATCTTGGTTTTGATTATTCGTCACTTAATTTTGATATGGTTTTCCACTTCAGGATGGTCAAATCGACTACAGCGAGTTCACGGCGATGATGAGGAAGGGCAATGCTGGTGCAACAGGAAGGAGAACCATGAGGAACAGCTTGCACTTGAATCTCGGCGAACTCTTGAATCCCAGCAAAACCTAGCGCGTATTGGAAGGATTTGTCGGGTACATTCTCATGGTATCTAAAGTTTTTGGATGCGTTGTCGATCTGCTGGCCTATTCTGAGATGTTGAGTGGTTGTCCTGTGGTAGTACTAAGATGCTGGAGAATTTTCGTAGTACTGGTGGTATCAACTAGAGAAGAGGGATGGTACAATGTGGTTACTATGATCAACTGCTTATATATGTATGACTGTCGATGTAGATTGAACATGGTCTAAATCCCTAGAATTACAACTTCTCTGCTGTTAAGTGTCAGTTTAGTTGATATTGAATGGCAATTTCTTTCTCTAAATTCCTCGATAACTGCTTTTCACACCTTCGTTCATTTTCTGTATGGTACGACCGATATTCTTTTTAACTTTCACCATCAATATCTATAATTAATAAATAACAATAAATATTTATAATTAATATCAGTAGATAACACAGGATTAACATTTCTAGAATTATTTATTGTAAAAACTACTACGATGTACAACTCTTTTGATTTATGATAACATTTTTCCATAGATAGTGCTGGTCAAAGTTAAATGAAATTTATGTTAGGACAAACTTAGATGGACTTGTACCTGTGTTGGGAGGAACTATATATCTATATTGATCAGAAAATTAGAAGAATGGGTATACAAATGTGACACCGAGAACAATAATAACCAGTAAAATGAAAAAAAATGGTATGCCTAGATGAACCAGATATATAATATAAAATAATCAAGTCAATTGTAATCTGCATTGTTTAAAGATAGCAGTACATTTTTTTTTACAGTGGGTAAAAGATACAACTGATATGTGTGTTGGCTGTAATAAAATACAGTACGCTTGCCCTTATGGGCCTCCACCGAGGCCTACTAAGACATTTGGTCCAACATCAGACCTATCTAACCTCGTCTTTTTCGCTTTCTTGTACTGGAACGGTGCTTACGGCCGATGTTGAGTATTTTGAGCTTTTATTTAGTACGCTGATGAGAAGCTAAAAATGTATTATAAAAGCTAATAGCAAAAATCCGACAACCAGAAGCCAATTATGTCAAAAAATCAACTTCTATAAACCAAACGAAAGCCCCAAAACCGCAGCTCTGATCGAGAAAGCAGAGCAGAGCGCACTGATCGAGAGGTCGTTCCAGAGCTTGACCTTGTCCTTACTTGTCGCGAGCTGCACGGGCGATGTGATCAGCCGGCCGCTAGCCGCCCCTGTCTCTGTCTCAGCGATTTTTGGACGGCCGCTGCATCAGCTTGGTGCTGGCTTGGTCCACTGGCTTGTTCCCAGCCGTCGCGGCCATGCATGGCTTGTTCCCCCGATCGACGACGCGACGGCCTTGGAGCTGCTGGGTCTAGGATGGGGACGGGGGATATTCGCCATGTTCACTTGAGGTTATAGTATTTTTCTCTTATAATATTTCAACATAAGTATTATCATAAGTTAAATTTCAGCATCAGCGAACAGGATGGTTATTTGGACCTCGTCGATGTGGCCCGCATGCATTGAATGCCGTTGCGGACTGCAGTATGGCAGCGTGCCCCGCCTTTTGCGTCAGCCTGGCTGTCGGCGCGCGAGGGCGAGGGAGGAACGATCGCTCGTTTCGGCGTCGGTCCATTTATCTCCGTTGGAGTCCTTTTCTATGGTTGCGTTCCGCATGTGGGATTTTTTTTCGTTTTTCTTGCGTTAGTTTTTTTTTTCACAGTCGCTGTTCCATCTAGCTTTTTTGTGTGTGCATATTTTAGTATTTCTCCTTTTTAATTAACATAAAAATAAACAATAAATGTAATATTATTAGGAATACAACTTATTTTTTGTTAGAAACTGGATGAACCGATGATCCTACTAATCAAATCATGAACTGAAATATATTGAGTACTTTGTTATACAATACATAATATACTCCAAGCTATTCACATATAAATTAAAGTATGTTGGGCGAGCCCAACTAATATCTCATGTCACAATTCGTTTTGGCGTCCGTTTGTTCTCACTCCGTCTTCATGTCTCCCCCGTTGGAGTCCTTTTCTGTGGTTGCGTTCCGCAAGTGGCATTGTTCGTTTTTCTTGAGTCCATTTTTTGTTTTCGCATGTTTCCATTTTGTTTTTTCTTCTTTTCCGTTCATCCATTTTTTTTCTTGCACCCGTTTTTCACGGGCGCCGTCCCACCTACCTTTTTCAGTAATTTTAGTATTTCCCCCCAAAAAAGTATTTTTTAGTATTTCTCATTTTTTTTCTTATGTAGACATAGAAACAAATCATAAATGTAGTATCATAGGTACTTGAATCCTTGACTTTTTTATCATAAATAAATATTCATACCACTAGATTATTGATGTAGTTTTGATTAGAAATATAACTTATTTTTGTTAGAAACTAGATCAACCAATGATCCAACTAAACAAATTGTGAACTGAAATATTGAGTACTTTGTTATACAGTATATAATATAAATAAATATGTCGGTGTTTTGGAACGACGGGTCCTCAACCAACGAGTGAAAATGTACTGCGTGTCCTTAATCCCAGATGGTGATGCAAAGAGACACAATGTTTATACTGGTTCAGGCAATAGGTGCCCTACGTCCAGTCTAAGAGAGCGATCTTGTATTCCTTGCACCGATGTGCTCGTAGTAGGGGTTTACAAGCTGGGCGAGAGAGGGAGCCGGTCCCAGGTCTCTGTGAGGAGTAGTGCGGGTTGCTTAGATGTTGATCTCTTGCAGCGAAGGAGTGTGTGCGTTATGGGGTGTTGTTGTCCGTCACTTGCACCGGTTGTGTGATCATGCCTAGGAGCGGCCCTGGTCACTCCGTTTTATAGTCGAAGGGAGGCACAGAGGCGGTACATGTATTTGCTACGTGGTGTTCTTTTTTGGCAGAGGCGGCATGTCCGAGCCCTGCAGCTTGTCACTGTAGCGGTATGGTCGGTGGAGTGGTCTTGTCCTCGGTGCACTGGAGCGACGCGCTGGTCACGCCCGATCCTGTGCGACGTGGGAGCTCCTGTGGTGGCCTGGCAGGAGCGCCTTCTTCTTTTGGAGACGTGCTGGTCACTGTAGGTTTGACCGGCGCGGAGAGTCGAGGCCGGGTTGATGCGACGGCGCGGGTACACTGATTCCGAGGCTACAGGAGCTAGGCCCTATGTACGACGTGGGAGCTCCTGCAGCCTGACGCAGGGCGTGGCGCATACTACGGGCGACGTGCCAGTCCCGGCGCGACGTCGACGTAGAGAGCCGAGGCTCAGTCGGTGCAGAGGCTGAACCGTTGTGGGGGGCACGGCGGGCGCGAGCCCCGAGGCTACAGGAACCCGGGAGCGATTAGCCGAGGCTCGAAGAGAGCAGTTGGCCTTGTACGTTGATTCCGAGGCTACAGGGACCCGGGCATGACTTTCCACACCGCGCTGTCCTTGGAGCAGGGGTTAGGCAGCACAGCGTAGCACGGGTGTCAGCCGTGGGCACAGTGCCTGAGCACAGCGGCCGGTAACCCTCGCCCCGTCCTGTCCTGGATGGTAGGGCGTTGATGTGACTTCCGTCTCGTCGGCCACTCCGCTGTACCGTGCCGTCGTGCGGCTGACGTTATGGGAGTGGTTGAACGCTTTAGTTGGATGTGACGTCCCGTCAGAGAAGTCGGTCAAAGCGGCGGTGACAGGGTTGATGCCGAGCTGGCCTCGAGCGAGTCGATAACTAGGTGCTCGTCTGAGGCCTCATAGTAAGGGGCCTCGGGTGAGTCGGAGAATCGGTGACTTGTTCGAGGCCTCGTGGCGCGGGGCCTCGGGTGAGTCAGAGAATCGGTACCTCGTCCGAGGCCTCGTGATATGGTTCTAGGCCGAGCCTGCTTTGGTCGTGCCTGGATGTTGTTCGAGGTGGGCCGGGCGATCCAGCCGGGCCTCGGATGAAATGGGGGTTTGCCTGCGGTTGTATTTTGGCTTCGATATTTACAAGTCCTAAGCAACTTTTTCGGTCTTTGCTTAGGGTACCCCTTTTTATGGTACCCGACGGTAGCCCCTGAGCCTCGGGGCGAGTGTGAGCGCTCTCCCTGAGGTTTTGACGAGACTTGGCTTGCGGCAGCTCCTGTCGGGATTTGTGTTTCGTACTCGAGGCTTCGATGGGTGCGCACGAGCACACCCACCGGGTGTAGCCCTCGAGGCCCTAGAGGGGTGGTTTTATTCCTCCAGGGGCTTTTTCCCTATTGAGTGAGGGGTTTTATCGCATTTGCCGAGCCCCCGAGTGCGAGTTCGGGTCGCTGGGCCTCGGCCTAGTCGTAGGAAGAGCCCCCGAGCCTCTGCCCGGAGCAAGAGGACGGTCAGGAGTTTTCCTGTCTTTTTTGTGCGGCCCTCGCGCATCTTTTTTGTTCGGAAGGAGGGGTGGAGTATGTCGGGCTACCCTCTGTGGGCGAGCAGTGACACATCCGGTGAGCTGTTATCGGGTAAGTCGAAGTGGAGGCCCGTGCCCCATTCGATAGCGGTCGGCTAGCGGTCCAAAGACGCACTCCAAAAGTACCAGAGGGCTTCTCTAGTAGGTCCCAGGGCCATTCGATTGGCCTCGGGGGCTCGGTGCCTCCCTTCGGTGGGATCCCATTCAGAGACCTCCCTGTCGGTCTCGGACATGACTTAGGGCATCCTAGGCAATTGCTTGCTTGGGCCTCGGCCATGTACGGGCTCGCCCATAGTCGTCCCTAACTTTGTTTGTCCTAGGGCGGCTGTCGAGACCCTCGGGGGCCCAGCCTTCGAACCCCTGGACCGTAATGGGCTCGGTGCCCAGTTTCTTAGTCTGAAAGGACTCGGGTGGGGAATATTCCCTTCCCATCGGCTAACGACGGTGGGTGCGCCTTTTGAGGCGGTTCCTCGGGGAGACAGAACGGCGCCTGTCGTCGCCGTGGGCGGATGTGACGCGATGTCTGCGGATGGGACGTTACTGTGCACTCACGGTTAATAAGAAGAATGTGGACGTGTGTGCGGTTTGGTTGAATCCACATTAACTGTGCCAGATCTGAGAAATTTTTTCCTGGTTTCG